GGGGGGGGGGGGGGGGGGGGGGGGGGGGGGGGGGGGGGGGAGATCGAGAGTCGGTGAGGGGAGGTTGCGTGGGAGCGGGATCGGAGTCGCGAAGAAGAAGAAGATAAGAATAAGCGAAGAATAAAAATAGTAGAAAGAAAATTGTCGTCGATTACTTATCTGGGCGGTGGCAACGACGATGTCGAGGATGGCACGGCGCGATGACGAGGATGACGGGCATGGCGATGGCGACGTGGGGCATGACAACGACGAGCGCGACGGTGACGATGATGTTGTGGTACGACGACGACGATAACGATGATGACGTGGCACGACGGTGACGGTCACGGCGATGACGTGGTGCTACGACGACGACGATCACGACGATGATGCTGATGATGGCCAGGTGGTGACAACGAAGCAGGGTGGGTTGGGCGGGTTCGAACCGCTCCGATACCAGTGTGACGGGGCTGAGGCAACGAGGCTGGGAGAGAGAGGGAGAGAGGGAGAGAGTGAGAGCACACACACACACTCAACTCGACACAGACTCGACACGACTCGACTCGACGGACGCAGACACGAAGTGGCAAAGTTGCAAAGTTGAAGTCTTGGATTTCCGAACACAAAGTTGAAGTCACACTGAGTACGAGTACAGCAGAAAACTGGTATGAGACTGGTACCCATACCATACGGGGAGCCGGTATAAGTACCGGTGACACGTACGGTACCAGGGGCATTTCTGCAAAGGCCCCGAGGGCAGAACTGAAAAATGCGGTACCATGCATCGAGCGAAACAAGCCTCATTTGTCATTACAGATGCGACTCATGCGGGACGCAAAAACAATGACAAATACCCTTGTAACTTGTAAGGGTATTTGTGCCAACAGCGCACTGTAGGCATAATTCATAATATTACAACTCTACAAGTAAAGTGGCTCTCAAGTTGACAATTTTCATAACCTGGCTGTATGAAGAATAGCCTAATCTGTTTGGTTCCACTACTGGTTTGAACGCACTCTGTTTGGTTCCACTACTGTTTTGAACGCACTTGTCACGGCTGTGCTCACGTATGTGTGTGATAGTGTACTCTTCCATGTGCTTTGTCTCGTGCTTGTTTGTGTACCTGCGTCTTGTTCGGCTCACCGTGTTTGGGTATTTTTTTCCCTTGTGCTGGTTTCTGTCTCCGTCCCTTCTTCGCCTTCTTATCCGCTGCAGGTGTGCACATCTAAGATGAATTTGAGTGACGAGGTGGACTTGGAAGATTACGTATCACGGCCAGACAAGATCAGTGCTGCAGAGGTGAGTAGTAACTTGAATTCAGGAATCTCTCTCCTGCGCCCTTGGACACTGGCTAATGTCTTGAATGAGTCTACAAAACCCATTAATTCCATTTTCATTCTCTTGAGGATTGCTAAGTAGTGTTGGTTGTCTTGACAACTTGACCTGGGAGGCATGATCATGCTTTGATCACATGCAGGAGAGTTCCTTTTCCAATTGACGGTCATTCGCGATTTCCCTACTCAACATCCTTTTGGTTGATTAATTTCATCCGTAATACAAATGCATTCACGATTGCCATTAGTAGATCCATCTCTTCAGCCCTCACGCCATGCGTGAGGAGTATGCGGACTTACGACATCTGAAACAGGCTCAATATAAACCTAACTTTCTGGGGCGGACGTGCACGACCCCCCCAGTTGTCCGGGTTGTCCGGTCGGACAACTCCGGAGACATCCTCCCTGGACAACTTGTCTGGCCCCTGAGAAATATAGGGCCCCCCCAATTTTTGGCGATTTTGGGGCCTGGACGTGTTCGGGAGGTCATGGGGTGGCGTACCAGGCCTGAGATACATTTTTTTTGAGGCGGTAGGGCCTAAAAAATTGAAGAAAAAAAGGCCCAATCTGGGCAGTCAGATCTTGAAGATTAATAGCTCGATTTGGGCCTTCTGGAATTTCAAAATTTGCCTCTAAAAATAAAGGCCCAATCTGGGCTGTCAGTCTTGAAGATTTCAAAATTTGCCTCCGGAGGGCCCCTGCCTCGCACGCTATTTGGGCGAGGCCGTTTGGTTGTTGGGCGTTGCGGAACATTCATGCCTGCTCCAGCGGCCGCAACCCCATGCTGGCATCCCAACCACCGCCAGGTAGGTGACTCCCCTCCTCCTTCTCCTCCCATCACATCCCCCTCCCTCCCTCCTTCCCCTCTACCTCGTCGTCCTCCTCCTCCTCCTCCTCTTCGGCCCCCTCCTCATAATCGTCGTCGTCCTCCCCCTCTTCTTCTTCCTCCTCCTCCCTGTCCCCCTCTGTGGCATACTGCATATCCACACAGGCCTTTAGGGCCCTACTGTGAGGATTGAGCCCTCAAGTAGGGGCCTTGCCATGATGTACATGTTCTGGGCTAAGGCCCCAGCAAGCCTCGTGCCCGCCCTAAGTGAAGGCGGGCCAGCAAATCAACAAGAGCCCTCTGTTCCAACATTTCACGAAGTGGGGTCCATATGGTTGCAGCACGCCAGTTGGTTGGAGTGCACCGAGTCTCGGATTTCAGCAAAAGCTGAAAGCCCAGGGCCTCTGAGTTAGTTAGGCCCTGGGCACTCGAACGTGAGGCCGACAATGCATGCTGGGTATAGAGGCCGAAAATGCCAAAGGGAAATCGGCCCACTATCTGAATCTGGCCGCAGGCCTTGATGAAGGAGGTGCAACTGCATTGCACCGGGGCCCAACTGTATCGGGCTGGGTTCAGCCTCTGGGCCCCGGTCACAGGCTGAAGGGAGGCCGCCCACACGCTGCACTGGCATATAGGCAAGCAGGGCGAGTGGCAAGAGATCTTGGCCATTGCGGGCAATGCCGGCACACTGCGCGAATGCGAGCTGCTGCTGCTGCTGCGCTGCGCTAAGAGAGGTGCAAGGCAGGCCAGCGCTAGGCGGTAGGGTGCTGCCTGTGCACCAGGGCACTGGCGGCCATAGCCGGGCCGCATGAGGGTGCAGAGAGGGGTGAAGGGCGAAGGTGGTTCTTCGGAGGTGAAGGGCGCTGTGTGGGTACAAGGGAGAGTGTGGGTGAAGAGGACATGTACCTGGTGGAGGTGGAGGTCGGCATTGGTGTTGACATCATCACTTGCTGGTAGTCAAGTTGTCTGGTTGCTTTCATTGCTGTAGTTGTAGGCTAGACTGTAGAGTAGATAGGGCGCCTGGCGCCATTCACAAGAGAGAGCTACATTTGGGTTATGCTGTTGGTGTTGCCCTGTTGGGCATGGACATTGACTCACGATTCTTCTGTATCATTCTCAATGGGATGGTTACTACATTTGGGTTATGCTGTTGGTGTTGCCCTGTTGGGCATGGACATTGACTCACGATTCTTCTGTATCATTCTCAATGGGATGGTTACTCGGTTCCATGTGCTATCTGCTTTGGCTTTGACGACTTGGACTTCAGTGTGATTTTTCATTCTGGATTTCTGTACTTCGTCCATATTCATGTTCCTTGCACTACCAGACGGAAAATAAGGGCCCTCCAGGCCCTGTGTCGTTTCAGCCTAAAAGCCTGAAAAGGAGGGCCATTTTCAGGCCCTCATAAAGTCGATCTGCCCTGAAACTTAGGCACCAGACCAGGGTTTAGCACAGACCATTTTTGGGCCTGTTTCAAGACAACCTTTGTTTGAACTTCAACGCCAGGGTCTGGCACGATTTGGCATGGGCAAGAGCAGCCTCCGAGGCAGGACCAGCACTATATAGTACTGGTCCGCCCTGCAGGCTGCAGGCAGTTCAGAGGCACTTCACGTGCAGTTCAGGAGGCAGTCTTCAGGATTCGGACGCAGCACTCTGCAGGAGCGCTGCAGTAGTAGTAGCTAGCGCTAGGAGTAGTCATCAGCGCTGGGCGCTATTAGGAGCTTAGAGTAGCGTTGGGAGAGAGAGAGGGGGGTGGTGCCATAGCTCCCGCTTCGTCTTCGATGTACCTGCAATAAGGCGCCACATTCACAAGTCAGTACTTGGCACCAAAGAGAGAGAGAGAGTTCTTCTTCTTCCTCCTCTAAGTCCATTTCTCCCTCACCCTTTCGCTACCCGACTTCTCGGTATCTGCAGACTACGAGAGAGAGAGAGAGATTTGAGACTTTGAGATTTGACGACATTTGGATTCAGACTCGACATTGGGATCGAGACATTGGACGAGGGATTATTTGGGACCTGTACCGAAGACTTGGAGTTGACGGCATTCCGATCTTCCCCCTCTTCTTAGTCTGATCCCCCTCCTCTTCGTCTGTGTATGGTAGGGGACTGGCGCATTGTTCCTGTGTGAGCGCCAGGCCCCTTCACACCATGTGATGATGAGGATGTATGTTTGGTCTGCATTGCGACATTGATTGGCCTGATCATTGGTATTTTAGCCTTCCGCTGTGCTATCCTGTACTATGTGAGAGAGGTCGGTTCTTGTTCTGGTCTGTACCGTTATGGTATGCAACACCCTCTCTACATCTTGTAATGTGCTGCAGCAGCTGCTGTGTCTGCTGCGGATGATCCCGCTGCTACAGATGCAGTCGCTACAGCACCTGCAGCATCTTCTGCACATGCAGCAGGTCAGCACCTGCTGCAGCAGATGCTGGAGATGACCCAGTTGCTGCAGATGCAGCTGCTTCCGTTGCACCTGTGAATCTGATGCAGCAGATTGTGTAGATGGTGCAGATGCTGCATCTACTGCAGCAGGCGCTCCGAATGTAGCAGATCCTGCACCTCCTGCATTAGCGGACCCTCCACCATCCCAATCCTCCCGCCCCCCTCTCTTCCCCATTTTTAATGTATTTTGTTCCTGCGATGATTGTTTTTAATGGGGTCTCTGCCCTGTGCACGGGCCCCCCCGATTTTTTTTTTTTCTCCATGTTTAGGTCTGTGAAAAATGAGTTCAACTCCCCTACGGGACGTCCAACAGAGACGTCCGGGGGAGAAGTCCTCGATCGGATGACTGGTAACCTAGATATGAACTCCTATGCAGCCCACCCGGATATCCGGTGTACACTTTTAGTCGTCTGGGACGTCTGTATGGACGTCCTGGTAGGGACCCACATGTTTGGGGAAATCCGGAATAGTCCGAATAGGGTTAATTTAAACTCCTATGCGGCCAACCCGGACGCCCGGGCCACACTTTAGTCATCCGGGATGTCTATATGGATGTCTTGGTCCAGACCCACATGTTCGGGCCCAGTGGACTATCTTTTTTTTCTTCTTTTTTTCTGGATTCTGTTTTTTAACACAAGTTTGGCTTGGGATATGAAGATGACTCCAGGCTAAAGTTGTTTGAATTGAAATGCTGCATAACATTATGCATTGAACCATGTTGTTTTTCACCTCAAGCACATACACAATGAGAGATCACGCAAAATCCACACTGGAGACCAGAGATTCAAAGTCCAGGTTAGTGCAGCTTAGAAACCCCAACAAATTATCGTATTGAACAATTTCCGAGTTCCAGTTGCCAAGCGCTCATCAGCGCAGAGTTCATCGACCCAAATCCAGCATCCTTATCCAGGTAGGTGCCTCTCTCTCTCTCTCTGTTTCACTAGCTCTCGCTCTCTCTTTCATACATGTGTCCACTCTCTCTTTCCCTCTCTCCCTCGCTCTCTACATGAAGATCTCGAGTCTGGATACATCTGCCTGCTACTCAGCTCTGCTCCTACTCTATGCTGTGAGGCTATGGCCGCCTTCCTTCCACCACACAGCGCTGCCGAGGGAGGGCTTTAGCGCTAGCCAACTCGCAAACAGGGCACAAGTGCTCAGCAGCACTTCCATTCTTCTCGCGAATAAGCAATCTGTTTGAAATGTGGCTGGCCGGTCTCTATATTGACTTGGACTGGGCCTTAACTTGTCCCAGCCTCTGCTTCTCTTGGCTTGACTTGAACCCGGTATGGGCTGCCTGCCGGCCTGCTTGCTTTCAGAATGTTGAGGCCCTGTACCTCCGTGAGTTTTCCTTGGTGTGCTGCTTCTTTTTGGTCTGCGGGACGTGACCTTTGACTGTGGGATGTGACCCTTGCCTTTGGGATGTGACTCTTGACTGTAGGATGTGACTTTTGCCTGTGGGATGCGACTTTCGACTGGGTACCGGTTGGACTTGACCTCTGGGGTATCCGACTTAACCTTTCTGAATCTGGCCGACTTGGCCGCCTTTGGCTTGGGGATTTTTGACCCTGAGATTCAAATTTTGGCGTCTGCAGCGTGAAATGCCTTTCTCTCTCGCCGGCCTGATTTCAAGGTCCTCCGAGAACGTTACAAACTTTATCTGTCAATTATGTTAATTCCTCTTCTAGCTCTCTCATAAC